GGTCAAATCTTATCTGATTTTCATAAGGTTTGGCTTTTTGTTCATGGTTTGACACCTTAATCAATTTGGCATCAAAAACTGGCAACCGTATTTTTTGGTCAAAATACATGTAAAAATTATACCCTCAAATATCCTATATAGACATAAGGCAAAATTTCCCAACCCCATAACTCGGTCAAATCTCATCCGATTTTCATAAGGTTTGGCTTTTTGTTCATGGTTTGACCCCTAAATCAATTTGGCATCAAAAACTTGCAACAAATTTTTTTGGTCAAAATTCATGTAAAAATTATACCCTCAAATATCCTATATAGACATAAGTCAAAATTTCCCTACCCCATAACTCGGTCAAATCTCATCCGATTTTCATAAGGTTTAGCTTTTTGTTCATGGGTTGACCTATAAATCAATTTGGCATCAAAAACTGGCAAAGGTATTTTTGGTCAAAATTCATGTAAAAATTTCACCCTCAAATATCCTATATAGACATAAGGCAAAATTTCCCAACCCCATAACTCGGTCAAATCTCATCCGATTTTCATAAGGTTTGGCTTTTTGTTCATGGTTTGACACCTTAATCAATTTGGCATCAAAAACTGGCAACCGTATTTTTGGTCAAAATACATGTAAAACTTATACCCTCAAATATCCTATATAGACATAAGGCAAAATTTCCCAACCCCCTAACTCGGTCAAATCTCATCCGATTTTCATAAGGTTTGGCTTTTTGTTCATGGTTTGACACCTAAATCAATTTGGCATCAAAAACTGGCAACCGTATTTTTGGTCAAAATACATGTAAAAATTATACCCTCAAATATCCTATATAGACATAAATAAAAATTTCCCAACCCCATAACTCGGTCAAATCTTATCTGATTTTCATAAGGTTTGGCTTTTTGTTCACGGCTTGACCTCTAAATCAATTTGGCATCAAAAACTGGCAACAAATTTTTTTGGTCAAAATTCATGTAAAAATTGTACCCTCAAAATACTTATATAGAAATAAGTCAAAATTTCCCAGCCTCATAACTGGGTCAAATCTCATCCGATTTTCATAAGGTTTGGCTTTTTGTTCATGGTTTGACCTCAAAATCAATTTGGCATCAAAATCTGGCAACCGTATTTTTGGTCAAAATACATGTAAAAATTATACCCTCAAATATCCTATATAGACATAAGTCAAAATTTCCCTACCCCATAACTCGGTCAAATCTCATCCGATTTTCATAAGGTTTAGCTTTTTGTTCATGGGTTGACCTATAAATCAATTTGGCATCAAAAACTGGCAAAGGTATTTTTGGTCAAAATTCATGTAAAAATTTCACCCTCAAATATCCTATATAGACATAAGGCAAAATTTCCCAACCCCATAACTCGGTCAAATCTCATCCGATTTTCATAAGGTTTGGCTTTTTGTTCATGGTTTGACCTCTAAATCAATTTGGCATCAAAAACTGACAACCGTATTTTTGGTCAAAATACATGTAAAAATTATACCCTCAAATATCCTATATAGACATAAGTCAAAATTTCCCAACTCCATAACTCGGTCAAATCTCATCCGATTTTCATAAGGTTTGGCTTTTTGTTCATGGTTTGACCTCTAAATCAATTTGGCATCAAAAACTGGCAACCGTATTTTTGGTCAAAATTCATGTAAAAATTGTACCCTCAAATATCCTAACTAGACATTAGTCAAAATTTCCCAGCCCCATAATTCGGTCAAATCTCATCCGATTTTCATAAGCTTTGGCTTTTTGTTCATGGTTTGACCTCTAAATCAATTTGGCATCAAAAACTGGCAACCGTATTTTTGGTCAAAATTCATGTAAAAATTGTACCCTCAAATATCCTATAAGGCAAAATTTCCCAACCCCATAACTCGGTCAAATCTCATCCGATTTTCATAAGGTTTGGCTTTTTGTTCATGGTTTGACACCTAAATCAATTTGGCATCAAAAACTGGCAACAAATTTTTTTGGTCAAAATTCATGTACAAATTGTACCCTCAAATATCCTAATTAGACATAAGTCAAAATTTCCCAGCCCCATAATTCGGTCAAATCTCATCCGATTTTCATAAGGTTTGTCTCTTTGTTCATGGTTTGACACCTAAATCAATTTGGCAGCAAAAACTGGCAGCCGTATTTTTGGTAGTCCCGCTGCTATATCCATACTTCCATAATTCTTATGCATTTCAAAACAAAGACATCTTGTCAAAAATCATCTGACCAACTTTTACACTAATCCAAGTGTATTTTTTCAAGTCTTTTAATTTTAATAATTGTGCTAACTCTAACCGACCTATGTAAATGATTCAATCTTGATCTAAATAGTGTGAATTGATCTTAAATAACTTAATGATATCGTACTTTTGATACTCTTCTCTTTCAATCTAAAACAATTGCAGGGTATTTTGAAGTGCAGCACACTCAACTAGCGCGTAAGTTATGGCTCTTGTTGCTGTTTGTGGAGGGTGTTTTAATTTTGTCATTTTTGTTGAGACACCTTCGATCACATAAGGGATATATACTTCTGATCATTATATTAAGACCATAGAGGGATGCCCAAACTTGTCTCTCAGATGTAAAGTTGACTTCACGAACCAACGTATGGTCTTGTCAGTTGGAAAAGAAGAGCTGCGCAGTTCTCATATGTCTACAAGGGTATTTAATCTTCGGCGTGCCCCTGCTCTTTCTATTTTTTACTGCTTGTAGCTTTCTTAGTTGGTTCTACAAGTTGCAGATTTGAGGCACACGAAGCAGTTGGAGCGCTGGCTTATCTGAAAGTTGGCTCGCAGCGCAGCGTGTATTTCGAAATTTATGCAAAATCATATTTTTCAAATGAAAAAAAAAATAAAAATAAAAATAACAAAAAAAAAAGTTGCTGTGTTGTACACGGCAAGCCGAAATGGAATCACAGCGGGCCGCTTCAATTTTGCTTCTATTTAAACAAGGCGCACACCGGGCCAACAACTCGTCGGCTCGATGGGGGCACAACACACGCTGTGCACGGGTGTGCGTGTGTGTGTGTGTACGTGTGTGTATTTGTTCAAGGCCTGGTCTACCTCTTGGCAAAAGGGAACAAGCACGTTAAAAGCGACAACGACAGAAAGGACAACGCGTGCACAGCTTGAAAAATGTTTGTTGTCAACATTTTGAGTTTGCATCGTTAGCTTAAAAGTGTATGTGTGTGTGTGCTCGCTTACAATGGGCAAAAATCGATAAATGAGACAATGTCCGTGATTTTGGCATACAAGGAACTTGCGTGTGAGCCACAGGAATTTAATGTTATATTCTGAGAAATGCCTTTAATAAGCTGGCGGCGTTTGTTTTCATGTGGTTAACAGGCCAAAAAGTTGATATTAAATATTTTTAGCGACAATTTGAAAAATATATATATAATCTTTGCTTAAAGTTATTTACTTAAAAAATGAGACCCGGCAACCTAACCTTCAACCAAATTAAATTCCCAACCAGTAAGAGGTTCTAGTCGGGAGCTCCCGACTAGGGGATACCCTGAACCCTCTTCTTCCAACATCAAGTGCATATATATATTCTATTTTAGAAGCTATACTTCATGTTTGGTGACTCTAGCTCTTATTATTTACCAAAATTGCCCAAAAAACAGGATATCGATATCGATTTTTATCGATTGCTTGGAAACGGAGTAAGTTATCGATTATCGGAACTAGGAGCATCTACATCTAACATTTCAAGTCTCTAGCTCTTATAGGTTCTGAGATCCTTGTGTTCATACATACGGACGCACGGACGGACAGACAGACGGACATGGCTAGATCGACTCGGCTATTGATGCTGATCAAAAATATATATACTTTATGGGGTATATTTGGATTTTGCACAAATACAATATACCCTTATACCCATTTTTAATGGGTTCAGGGTATAAAAACACAGCTGAGTCCTAACTTTATTTCTTATTATTTTTTTCAAAAATAGTTTGTTTGAAAATAACAAGTTTTCATGGTAGTTAAATTAAGACCTAACCCTTGCATTTATCTGCCCATATGTGACAGAGAGAAGTTTATTTTAATATTATTAGTAGAATTACAAAAATTTTTAACTAAGTTTTGAACTGAAGTTTAGGAATCATGTCGGGAAACGTAGCCAGGAATTCTTTGTTAGTGCCGCATTTTTATTTTATCTGACTTAAATAAACGCTGTATTTAAAGTGAAATAAAAATATCCAACGTCATTAAGAATCGATTCATTCTATTCAATTTGTAAATAACCATTTATTTTATCGCCGTTTCTGTTATCGATTTGCCATAACATCGTGTGCCTCGCAGCACACAAAATTGAAATGTAAATAAATAAAAGTATCACCTACAGAAAACTCTTTCACGAAACGTCGACAACTCGCACCCCGGACTTGCAGGGCAATTTGGGCACACCACCCACGCAAAGGCAAAGTTATGGCAAACTCTTGCAATTAAACTGTCAGACTTATGAATTCATTTAATATTTAAACTGTAGATTTTGAATAATTAAAATTCCATTTATATATGCATATACATACATTTAGCCGCAGCAACAAACAAACGCCCTGCCACAAAACTCTGGCTATAAATCTGCGATTAATTAAAAAGACTTGTGCGCCGCCTGGGCTGCCGGCTCGTATACGTAATGGCAATATGACTTAATTACAGAAACATAACCAAAACCCAATACCAGAACGCTTCTATTGTTCGTGGGTTCCTTTGTTGTTATTTTTGTTGTTAACTCTTCTTTACTTTTTTTTTGCCAACTTTTAAAAGCTAACTCTTTCGGCCCACTCGCTTTCCATTGAACTATTGTCTGGCAACGCTGTAAATTTATGCAAATCACAGCGCTTAAGGTGTAGCGAACCGTGCAGAATGTAGTGCTTTGGCTTTTGTTGTCGCACGCTGAATGTTTCCCTTTATTTATTTACTCATTTTTCCTTCTGCTACCTATAAGTTGGGCGTGCTCGCATTTTGAATGGCACTCACTCACCTGGATCGTCGTCGTCGTCCCAATCGATTTGACCGGAAGCAATATTGATGTGTGCTGCCAGCAGCAGCAGCAGCAATGTGAATAGCGCCAAATGTTGGCGTTGCCAGACGCTGCCGTAGGAAGTTGTTATGTGCATTGTCAAGGAAGTAGTTGCCGTATCGGTTGTGCGGAAGCGCGAATTTGTTCTAGTTCTAGACGTTGACTTGGAACGCAGCCAATGCATTTCTCCCGAATAATACAATTTATGCGAATACGCACTTGTCGTGTATATCTTTTTTGCGATTCGTTACACGTTGTTTCTTTTTTTTTTTTATTAGTATTTTTTTTTTTTTTAATTTTAACACACACACCGCAACACTAACGAGCGCGCGTGAGAACAAAAGTTGCGCTTGGCGGAGGGGGGAGCGCGTGGCTTGGGCTCAGTATTTGGCCGGGCCCTGGCTGCAACTGCAGCAGCAGCCCTATTTGGCCTTAAACATGCTCGCTAACACTAATGAAGCGAAATGAGCAAAAATATTTCTTAAAATTCGCTGCAATGTGGCGCCCTCCACAGCCGCAGGCGGTGCTCCCTTAACTGGCTGGCTGCAATGTACACGGCTTTTTGCTCGACAACAACTAATTAAGTTGTTTCATGTACAGTTTTTTATTTGTGCCCTGAGCACAAGTTTTGTGCTTTTGGAGTCGTTGCCGCAGCAGCGTATTGAGGTGTTGCATTGTTCAGTTGCATTCACAGCTCGCAAGTAATCCGGCCAGCAGCTGCTGTAACGAGAGAAAGAGTTGAAAACGTAAGAGTTAATTATGATTTGCTTTTATATAAAAAAGACGAATAGAAAAAAAAGGCTAGAAACAAAACGCAGCAAAACTATATAAAATCATTCTTAAGTGCATTAACTAATTAACTGATTCTCAGCTGCCAGCGCTAGATTGAGTGGCTCGCATGTTTTTCATTCACGGCTAAAACTTTAACGTTGCAGTTCATTCAATTAGATACACACGTATTTGAGTAAAGGCTAAATGTAATCAGTGCTTTGACACGGCAACGTTTTTATGCAATTGCGAATACTTCGCATTACCAGTTAATTACTTCTAGACTTTTTTATAATAATGCAAGAGAAATAAGATATACTTTGCACTGATCAATTTATATACAAGAGTCTGTCCAGACCGGCTGATTGACTGAGTAATTAGTGAGCGCAATACCTAAGAGCTTAAATCAAACCTGCATATTCCTTTTTGGGCAATTCAACCTCGAAGTGGGCAAAACAGTTCTTATTTTCTATAAAAAACATCAATAACAACACGTTCATAAAAACATATTTTACAAACGTGACGTCACGTATCCTAGCATCGAACTGACAAGCGCAACGTCGCTGGTTCAACTCCAAAAATGCTTAAGTTTAAACACTTCCAGTACACATAACTGATATGAACTGAAGTAATAATCAAAAGTCAAGAACTTTTTAAAGAAAAACATATATCTATATAATAAAATTGTCAAATATTTATATCAATACTAATAGCAATACTTGAAAAAATGTCCAACTTTATGAGCTATAATAATATTTTTATCTATGCATTTACAGCAATTAGTTTTTAGCTAATGCGGCTTATAAATATATTATAAATGTTAGTTTGCTTGGTAAAATGTATTTGAAAAGTTTAAAGCAACATGAAATTAGTATTTAATTTAAAAAGTTTTTGCCAACAACTTTTTTGGCAAACTCTCCCATAAAAGCTATACTTTGGTGTAATCTGATGCCAGCTATATATGCATATATATTTAGATATTACATATGCAGTAGATAAAGTGTATATACCAATTCAATATACAGTAACCGGAGTTGAATTGTTCTGTTTAAAAGTCTTAGCAACTTCTTAATACATCTGTTTAATACAGTATTAAAAGAGTTTAATCAACTATCATGCATCTTAGACCCCTATGACCAAATAATTGACTCTTATCGTTAGCTGTCTGTAAGCTGTTCCTAATTGCACGCTGAACTACTTGTTAACGAAACGGATATAAGTTTCACTTTTCGAAGCACAAGCAAATACCCAACGATACGCTTGTGTAGGGCTCTCAGTCAGTTGGTCGCTTCTTAAAGCACCCTGAACAATGCGCGCCAGCAAGTGTTGCCTACTTTTTTGGGTGAAATTGAGAGACAGCACGCCATATGCACGCCCCAACACCCACTATCTGCAGTGACTAATTTGCCGTAGTTTCGGCTGCTCTCAGCCGCTGCCTGCCTTATTATGCGCACTTCAAACTTTAGACAACGCGGCAGCAGCAACAGCAGCAGCAGCGGCAACAACGCGGCTCGGAATCCGCCACAGTGTTGTTCATTTTTGGCAAGCTTCGCGCACCGCGCCGTGCAACGCCGCGCTGCCAGCCAGCCCTTGGCTTGGCTGATTTTTAATGCAGGCAGCCACTCACTCAAATTTTCGAGTGCGCCAATGCCGCTGCAGCAAAATGTTGTATAGTTTTCGTTTAATTTGATGCCATTGTTGTTGTTGTTGTTGTTGCCTCTAGCGAAACTGTGTCGCTAAAGTTTCACGTCGGACTGGCTGATTCGACGAAGCACTAGTGAATACAAAAAATTACGCCCCCAGCCACCCCCTAACAAACCTTCAAAAACAAAAAAGATGAGTGATATAGTCCCGACTGCCCGACCAGGAGATACTCTGAAGCCAGCGTGGAGCTGACATTCTAGCTTTTTTCTATACAAACATGCACAAAAACACACACATGCACGTGGGCCCTGGTCTGCTTCTTCTTTCCTTAATCACACACTATTGGAATTACATTCCTAGGCAACTTCGGTGCTTATAGTCCGATCTAAATGCAATTTGAGGGCTTAAAGATGATATGCTAAAGTGTGTATATACTAAAAACCAAGGATCTACCTCTCAATAAAATAAAGATTTTTTAATTATATTTTGGTGGAGGGTAAAATATTCCTAAGCTTTATACAGACATTTGTACTACACAAGAACCTACATACCAAGCTTATCGATTTATCGATATTTATCGTTCTGCGTATGGCATACAAAAATACATATGTATATTAAATATCAAGTCCCTAGCTTCTGTAGTTTCTAAGCTCTACGCGTTCACATAAGAGAACTAACGGATATAGCTCTAATCAAGAACATGTCTACTTTATGGGGTTGTAGATGCTTCCTGCTGCCTGTTACATGCACATAAACCCTTTTGCCCATTTCATTGAGGGTATAAAAAAGAAAATGGTGGGGGGGTGAAAAAAAGTTGTCTGCCAAAATCAGCGCCACTTTTGCCACAGACATTAAGCGTTGCATGCAAAATTACCAGCGAGTGGTTTGTATTTCCACTCTGATTGTTGTTTAACATGGTTACATTGTCCTTGCAACTGAATCCTGTTCGGCAGTTATTTTAGTTGTACTTGCAACGGTGCATCCATGTGGCTGCTGCTCCTCTTACTCCTGCTGCTCCTGCTGCTGCTACTCTGATTCTAGCCCTTGCCTGCGGCTGTGGTTATGCATCATGTCATGCTCTAGTTGCAAAACTTTTGCTGTTTCTCTTTTTTTTTCTAGCATTTTTTATCGCTTTATTTATATGCATATGGGACAAGTGGCATAAAAAAGTGCAACAAGCAGCTAACTATACATAAATTTGTTTTATGCACAACATAAACTTTTGCACATTTGTTGCCAAAAAAAAGGGGGAAAAAAATGAAAAACGTAAAACGTAAATTCTAAAATATAAAAGCTCAGCTAGTAAACAGGACCTTTTGTTGTGCACCTGCAGCATCAACTAATTTGTGCTTAGACAAAGCCAAACGAAGTGAGCAAACTTTTGCAGCTTAACTGTCGGGCTGCATGCGGCATGCAGCATGCTACACATGTAACTAGTTGCAGGTTACTTCATCAACATTTCACGCTCGACTTGGCCAAACCAGGCTAGAAGAAATGGCTGCTGCTGCCTTCTGCGTTGCCAGGCACGCAGTAAAAATGTATGCCCCATGCCCACATACCACATGGCCCATGCCAGGTGGCCGGGCTGTGCGTCTAACTGTTTGCCGCACCTGGCCAAAAACTCTGCCGACAAAATAAACTCTACTCAACTGTTGAAAATCAACTGGCGACCCCAGAGCGCACACCGTTCCGTATACGTGGTCCACAAAAGTTTGCAATCAATTTTTGCTCAATTTTTATTTTTTCTTCGCCATTCGACCACCGCAAATACTTGGAAAACATATTGAGCGATGCGGACGTAAACTTATTCCCACAACCTATGTAATAGATCAAGTACAAATAACGTGGCAGAATAGACTTGAATTAAGTTCCCCTGAACTAAATTTACTGGCATTATAAGCTTTACCCTATTAATATGGTGATTCGCTTTGTTTTCAGCTTGGTTTTGTATATTTAGCCACAGTTTAGTTTTGTGATAAATAAACATAAATTATAAAACCAAACGTTATGTTCCTATGTTTTCTTCTTCGATTGCTCTTTGAATCACTGAGCACTGTATACATACATATATTTTTATTTGTTATATGTTCATACAATACACGTTTCCTAACTTATATACTTTATATAGGAACTGCGTTTAGCCAGCTGCCGTCTTAGTTTTCTTTAATTGAATCTCGGTAATCAGTTAAATAGATCTGCTAAGTTTTGAATGCTGGGTATTTACATAAGTTCTCTACCTATGCTAGCTTTGGGCCAGGCTCGTTGGCCATTTGCAGCCGCCGCAACATCTGCTTTGTTGCTTTGTCTGCACGTGCATATATATATATATATGAACATGTATAAGTAAATACTTGACTGTGTGCGGATGTGCGTGTGTGTTTTGGCCAACAGTTGCCGCAGCCCAGTTTCCATTTCGTGCTGCTATTTTACCAGCAAGTTAAAGTGTTTCGCCACGCACTCCAATAAAAACATCTGCACGCACACGAACACATACATGCAGGGCTGGCCAGGACTATGCCAAGCTAAACCATTTGAGTGGTGCCACGTTGTTTGTTGTGCCAGTTTCGTGACGAGCAACTCTTGCGTTACGCATACGCTGCGTGGGCCCGTCGATGGTGGCACGGATTGCCAGACACTCTAGCCGTGGAGCTGTGGCATGGCCGCTGCTCTTGGACATTTATTATGTTTATCTAGCATTCAATTTGGCTGGCCAACCTGTTTACCAGCGTTTTGCATCAATGTTTGCCGCCCGTCTGTGCCCGTGCGGCATATGCTCAAGTGTTTAATAGCAGAATGCCAAGTGGCGGCTGTCATCAGCAGCTGCTCAGGCTCAATAAAATGTACGGCATGCAGCGCAGCCGTTGTCCATATATATAATTATATATTAGGCCATTTGTTACACTTCACTGGCTGCCTGGGGTTTTAATAAATATTAATTGCATTAATTCAATGCTAATTAAAAACCGATAACAAATCCAAGCGTGCACAAAGCAAATGCCGCCTACACTCAAAGCTATCCAAGGCCCACGCGGAAGTGTGCGTGCGTGTGTATCTCTTTCAAGTCCAGGCGGCGCATAAAAATAACTCATACCCCAAAATGGAATGATATAGGTGGTTTAACGCAGTGTCAGGGCAAAATATGTCAACGTTACTTAAATTTGAACATTAACATAGCATTTGCTATGCCCAACCAAGCGAGCCCTTTGTGCCGACGCAACCTGCAACCTGCCCCCGCGCACAGGTGTCAATTTTGTTGCCAGCGTCGGGTAATTGCCGTCAGCTTCTTGTTGCCATTACAATTCTTGTTG